TGAATTGAGGGTCTCAAGTCACATTAGGCCGCCCTCTGCTGAAACTAGGAAAAAAGAAAAGCATGTGAAACCGCTGCTCGTGTTTGGGTAATAGATAGAAATCGAGCAGCAAGATCACAAACTGTGAGCAGTGTATCAGAGCGATGATGTGGTTTGTAGTCGGCTAGTGTGACATTGTGCTAAACAGGGTGAAGGCACACAGCTAGAATAATGATTTGTATTTTCAAGCACAGCGCACAAGCTCTTCTGTTAGCCACAAAGGATCGCAGTGGGGGGGAAAATATAGAAGTTCATGCGATGACCGTATTTGCAAACAACTGCTTTTGAGATCTAGCCATAGCCTGGGTGGACCATGTGACCACCACTTCCAAAGAGATGTGCAACGAGCAATCACGTCAGCGATTTCCTGGCAACTTCCAATTGCTTGGGAACAATACATATTGCCCAACTGGTTGGCCAGAACAATGACTGTTCCCAGAGGGAACTGCACTGAAAACTAGCTTGTGATTGCATTGGCTGCCCGATAGAGAGGTATTATTCATCACTCCAGGGAACACTTCTCCACTGCTTTAGAGTCCAGTGGCAGCATGCTTTGCACCACTGCATCCAACACTTAAATTGCATTTGGGGATGTAAGGCTTGGATGCAGCTGCCCAGCCATGAAGCCCATTCCATGAAGCTCTCTATGCATTGTTCTTGAGCTAATCTGAAGACCACGTGAAGTGTGGAGGTCTGTAGTGACTGACTCTGCAGAAAGCTGGCGAACTCAGCATCTGCTGACCCCACTCTGTGATTTTACATGGCCTACCACTGCATGGCTGAATTGCTGTTGTTCCCAGTCACTTCCACTTAGTTACAGTACAACTAACAGCTCACTGTTGTGGCCCATTGAAGTGATTGAATCACCTGAATCCAGTGATTTGGATGGGTGAGCGTATACTCTTGGCAATGCAGTGTATGTTCTATTTAATATTGGTCCACCACTTCCTGAGGGACATATGTGTTTACACCAGCAGCTAGTTGCTAATATTGTTTCTCTGCCATTTGTTGCTTGGCAGTCAAAATATCATAACAGCTGCCTGCTGTACCTGGAAAATTTAACTTTGGCCTTTTAAGTGAAGCTAAACTGTGAAGTGGTGAGATAAAAGATGTAACAAAGATCTCTAGGGCAGCAGGCGACAGCAATGTTAGCATTTCTTTGTGTTTATCACTACAAGAAACCTTTTACACATTGGATATGCTCATTTCATACATATGGAAATATTGAGAAAATCCTCTACAAATCTGTGATTAGTGGTTTTATAAATAAAACTAAGATCTGGAGATTTGATTAAATTTAGCGCAATTGCCATGGACGTAATTACTCTTTTCACTGAGGTGGTGATAGTTTAAATTCTTTCCATCATTCCTGAGTAATAGGAAGTGTCAAATAAAACCTTCACGACACACTACTTTGAACACTCCCCCTTATTCCTGCAGAATTAAATTAGACCTAAAAAAAAGAAGCTTTTTCTTTTCCATGACCACCTCTGTTGCTGGCGCAAATGAAAATGCCCTTCCCAAAATAGATCATTTTTACCCTTCAGATGTCCACTTTTATTTTAAGCCCAGTGACACCATGCCATCCATCACACCCAGCTTTTCAGATGTGAGCAGCCCCAGGGAAAACACTGATACAATGCAGAGGAAGTGTGATAGCGTGCTGCTGCTGCTGCTGGTTAGGACCTCTATGGTTAGATTACCACTAATTTCATCTCAGAGTAGCATTTAGACATTTTCTTTCTCTGCCTAAAGTGTAAGTCATTCCTCTTTTTAGCGTAAACATTGAAAATGGATGCTGTGCCTTTCCAGCTCTTCCCTCAAATTACCACTTGACATGGCCAAACATCGCTCTGCATTATTGTCTGCCAGGAAAATGCATTTCTGAAGGCTTTATTGAATGTTGTGCCTGGGTGGAATTTGTACGAAGTGTACCCAGCACTTTGATCATCTTGACCTGGAAATGTGATAGTCACCCCACTTCACAGAGCTCTCTGACACCTGGGAAACTAGATCTGGTATTCGTGATACACGATCTGCGTCGCAGTGTTAAAGACTTAACTTCTCCCGTTGCGTAGTCAGCACAGACTACTGATGATAACTGGAATTTTGCATGCCTCAAAGTCTGACTTTTTCTCCCCGCAAGCCACAAGATTGGTGTGTCGTTTGGAAGAAACGACCTACATGGTTTTTATGAGCAGGATTCCTGCAATATAATGTACACTATATAATATTTTAAGTGGATTTTTGTGCTTCAAAGCTGAGTTTTTTGACAGATGTTAAAAGACTACATAAAAACTCTTTATTTCCCTTTGCTTTACTTTATTATAGTTTATGTTGGACTGTTTTGCAGGGTTCCTGTAGTTTGGAGCGGAGTTAGATCATCTATCTGTCTGTGTGTCTATCATTTAATTCCTTTTTTCAGGAGGGTGGTCTGATGTATTTTCCATTCACTCTCTATCTGACTGATCTTTTCAGAGCCACTTGTTCTTATTTTTGAGCTAGAGAAGCTTTTAAGAGCCATAGTTTAAAATAACCCTTAATTATCTTATACTGATTCTCAGCTTAACTTTGTTAAAGCCAATCTCTCTTTAAGCCATCTTTCTTCTGATTGGCTGCCCCTCGTAAATAGGAGGTTTGAATAACAATAGGAGGAAGGGGCTACTGTGTTCCAAGCTAAATCGCATGCTTAAGACTAAGGATGCTACAGCTCTTTGAAGAGTGAGTTTGGTAGTCAAGAGTGGAAAATAAAGCCTCCACAGATTGAGCTTTTAATTCACAAGGATTGCTTTACATGCCCATGCATAAAACAAATATCACAAAAAGGGGTCATTTTAGCCTATTGCTAAATGGTTGCAAGGCATGCATATATCAGCTTTTGTGTGTATAAATGAGATGTTATTGCATTGAAATGAAAAATTATATGTTTTTAGAACGTTTTAGGTACAGAAATGCAAAAAAAGTGAGTCATTTTCGCCCATTGCTAGGTGGGGGCTAGGCAGATCAGAACCTGCAAGGACCCTAGGATCTACCTGTGTGTGCATGTAACAGTAATATATACTGTTACCCAAAGTAATAAATAATTTACATAAACATTACACTTTTTACCAGACTAGTATACTAATAGCTTTTTCTCAGAAATAAAAATGCCTATGCAGACACCCAGTTAAACAAAGTTCATGCCAGTAGTCACCCTTCACCCTTTAGTGAAGCCTTCTTTCTCCTCCTGGCTGTCATCTTCTCAATGTGTCCCTGTCACCTATTCTTCCTCCTATGTGTTTGTTTACATTCACATACTGAGGTGCTGTTCATAGCCCGTGAAACATCTCTTCTCTGAAACATCCTAACCAGATGTCTGTTAGTAAAACTGTATAGCATTAATAACATATTAATAAACATATCGTGCTAATTAGACAATTAACATAATGCATTGAGGTCAAAGTTTATCCAAAGCACCAAAATGGACTTGAAGGTTTAAATATGAATAAATTATTTTTTTTAGTATTTCAAGCTTATAATCCACTCAAACATCACTTAATCTGCTGCATTTCTGAGCAGTTTAATGCAATAGCACTGGCAGTGGTACTGAGGTTAGAAGTAAATTACACAGAGCCAGTGTGTGATTAGAGAAGCTGGCTTTTAAAGTTCACCACCCCTCGGGATATTTGATCGAGCCACGGGCCTTTGATCAGCGTTAACATTACGGTAACCATGACAGTTTATTTTCAACTACCAAAAAAGACCATTTGTGTCAGAAAACAATCTCCCCTTCCTCTGACACACTGGCACACCGCAAAAGAAAAATGTCAGGGTCAGTGATGGGCCATTAGCCCAGAGTGAGTTCTTTTTGTGCCGGCGGACCCATTGAAAACACCTTTTTAGTCTTCGACAGATGGTACTGTGACCCAGCAACCACAGGATGACCTGAGCCTCAACCTGAAGACTTTTTCCCCCCGAGAAAAACGCCCGCAGGACGTACAAGCTCATCAGAGGAACAAAAATGTCTGGCCAGAGAGCAGAATGACACATGAATGCATAATAAAAAAAATTCACCTCAGCACGGCTGCATTGTAATGCCTTGTACATTTGATTGACTACACAGTCACCCTCTATTCACTGGTATTATACCCTGTTCTTTTTCATAGAGGTCGCTCCTCTATTGCTGCAAATGTCATAGTGCTTTAATGAGAACTGCACTGTAGTCTACAATGGAAGCTTTTCAGCAAGATTAAATGTATCACTGAGCTGAAACTTGCCCCCCCCTCCTTCTCCCCTTTGCCCCTATTGTGACACAGTGGTTTTACAGAGCAGCTTGTTGCTGAAAAACAAGGTTAAGAAGATCAGTATCAAAGGAGGAGTGTTTTTGTGTGGCTTGCAGGAGAGTCTCGCTTCAGGTTTCCACCTGAAACACAAAGGTGTTTTCTTACCTGATTTGTATTCATTCACACAATGAGTGGGCCTGCCTCTCTTGTTTCCAAGTAAGGAGAGTCCAGACAAGACTTTTGTTCGCCCTATCATCGGATATGTGCATGTTGCTTCCTCCAGTACAAGCCTTGGAGCTCAGCCACAGGCTTTGTCCTGGATGGATTTTTTCCTGTCCTTTTTCCTCTTCTTTGTTGCTCCGCTTATGTTCTAAGAAACCATTTCAGATAAGTGTTTGAGCACTGCAGTTTCTTTTTTTCCTTTTCCTGCCCTTTGGCTGCTATGTTATTTCAAGATTATCAAGCCGTGTCACCCTAAAACTACCTCGTCAGAATCCAAAACCTACAAATTAGCTGTTGGAAGTGTTTCAGTTCACAGGAGCCCGTTACAGCTCAGTCATTTCTGGGCCTATGTACCGTTGTCAAAACACTGATAATTCTGCCTGTACGGAGGCACTGTACAGATTAATTTGTTTGATTTAGCTGATGTCAGTCAAACCCACAAAATTATAATGTAGTAAATATTTTCTCTTGTTTCAGGGTTTTTTCCTCACTGTGTCCCCGGAGTCGATCGTCAAGGTGGCAAGACACGCTTCCGATAAGAACAAAATTTTTTGCATGAACCTCTCGGCACCATTCATCAGCCAATTCTTTAAAGAGCCCTTGATGAAGGTTATGCCTTATGTCGACATCTTGTTCGGCAACGAGACGGTAAGTGAAACGAGACGTGCATTCAAGCCTCTTTAGGACAGATATTTCCAGCTTATTCTATTTGTTCTTGCAAATTTTACAATTGAAATTGACAAATTCTTATATTTGGCTTTGAGACAAGCTGATTTAGCTGCTTTTCCCTCTTCCTTTCTTTTGATTGGCTGCACTTTGCAAACAAGAGATGTGAACAGCAGGTTTACAAGTGCACAGCTGCTGCTCCTGAATGAGATTTCCATAGTAAGGATGTCCCTCTTCTCTTTGACGTCATACATGGGGAGTATGTAGAGCAGTCTGAAGCCTGAGATTTAGGTTCACAGACGTTACCTGAATAAATGCTGACCTCATAAGGTGGAACTTTAGCCAGGTTTAATATGGTCACCATTGTAACAGTAAGTATGACAGCTTGGATTACCTCCAAATCCTTCAATGTGACCTCAAATCAACAGCTAGGTGGCAATCAGATTTTCCAAAAGGACAATGATCCCAAACTCAAATGGATAAAGCAGGCTAACATTAACCATCGGGAATTGGCTTCCACACGCCTTGACCTCAACCCTATTGAAAATTTGTGGACTATGCTTAAAACTTAGGTCCAAACCAAGAAACCAACCAATTTAGAGGAACTTGAGCAGTGAAATATCTAGCCAGAATTAAGCCAGAAGCTTGTTGAGGGTCAGCAAAAGCATCTGGTTGAGGTTCAGTTTGCTAAGGAAGATTCAACCAAATATTAGTAGGGGTATATATTTGAGCCTGTATGTATAATTTTACCTTGTGCAACAATTTCTTGTTTTTTAGTCGATAAAAATGTGCAATCATTCCGCTTTATGCATAGTCACGCTAACATTGCGCATTTAGCCTTTTTGTCTCACCATTTGTACACACAGCATGTGTCAGATTTAGTACAGTCGCATTGAATGAACAAAAACTGAAGTATAATACTCTCAATATAGATATTATACATAAACTACCTATGTTCTTAAACACTCAGATATGAAAGTGTGGAGATATCAATCATTTATTTACTTAACCTTTTTTTCTGCTTAAACAGTTTAGTGTTATTCAATGAACTATAACACCTGTTTATCGCACTTCTGTGTTTTCTCTCGCTGGGGGTTCGTCCTGTCTGAGTGCTTCATATGTCGCCATGTTTAAAGTAAAATCAAAGGGCTGTGTCCGACCTTTGATTCCACTTATTGCTCTCCTCAGTATCCATTTAACGTCTCACTTCTCGCTCACCATTAAGAGATGAATAAAACCGAGCGCGTTAATCAATCATCTCACTTGCGTCACCATTCCATCCCAGTTGATCTATCGATTTTTCTCCGCTTTGTGGAAGCGAGTAGATGATTTGAGGTCAAGCTGTGGTCACAGAGTGTGCTGCTGCTGGGAAGTATCCTCTAACAGAGCAGACGAGCTTAACTCTGAGGACAAACTGCACCTTTGGGGGCGGGCGCAAAGCAGAGGGAAGTGGAGTGGATGTTCACTGGGCTGAACTTGCCTCCCCACTGCTAAAGTTACTAAACAGAGCCCTGTCTTCAGGTTAGAGATGGGGTCTGCAGACCGGGACAGAGCTGGAAGGAACTGCTCAGCATTTGAGGATTTATTGCCATTGCTGACTTCAGCTTTTTTCCCCTCTTTTCCATTCCCAACATAAGACCTCCCTTTTACATATGCACCTCTCTCTCTCTTGCTTCCTAATTGCTGTGAGGAACGATTCTGTCTCCTTAAACCGTGCTGTACATTTTGCAAGCGTTATGTATTTTCTAGTGGGTGGTACTGTAACTGTTTGTTTAAGAAGTTTGCTCACACCTCCAGTCATTACGATTTAATGACTCCGGATAATTGCAATGTATGTTTGTTGAAGTAGATTATCTTTCGGAGACTCTGTCAGGGCTCGCTTTCAGAAATTGAACCTGGCTAAGAACACCAAAATAAGAGTTTCAGTGAAAAGAAACAGAGGGCTGATTAACTGCTCAGCCGCCTCAAGCAGTGAGGTCTTCAAGGGTCTGTATAGGACTAATGCCTGTCCAGAGTGTTTTGACTCCTTTTGGCTCCCCCACCCCCTCACCTCTGTATTGGCTGCTGGGAGGGGGGAATGACTGCTCATACAGTCGAGCCCCAGACCTCCCATTGTGCACAAGCCAGACAAGGTTGCCGGTCATGCAGTGGTGCATGGTGAGTGACAGGCAACAGAGCCGCCTCGCCCACGCTTGCCCCTTCCAGCCCCCCCGGCCGTCCTCTCGCCCCAGCTTCCACCCCCCAATGTGATGGATAACCCTCAGCCCGCGATGCTTTCATAACAAGTCAGTGACAGTCAGGATCATGCAGGCTGACTCCTATAGCCTTGCAGAATGTGCCATAAGGGAAGGCTAATGTGTCTGCTTGTCTCTGCCTTCCTCTCCCACACTTACTGAGTCACGATACAGAGCTCGTCTCACTTGGGGAAAAAAATGTTTAAAGCAGCTGTAAGATCTCATGTTTTGAAAATGACATGTAATAAATTTGAGCGAGATCGTTTTTGATTGCCACCTTATTTTTCCACGACTGGGAACTTATTTCAGCCAGATCACAACTCACGTTTAATCATTTTTAAATTCCCAAACAGTTTTGCAACACGGCAGACTTCAAAACATGTCAATAGCCTCTGTTTCTTCTCTTGTTTTGTTTTTTCTCTCCTGCCAGCTTCTGATGTTGAAATGTGTCTGTGTTTGAGTCTACCCTGGGTAATTCTGCTATAACTCGATCCTGCTGGTACTTGTTTTAAACCTGGCATCAGCAGGCCCTGCCTGCTCTATCGGCAGCCTCGTGCTTATATAACAGTCTCCCATCCATCCTGTAATTACTGCCTTTTTGGGGCATAGTGTAGTGTCTGTTCCTTCACTGCTGAGGGGAGGTGGAGGAGGAGGAGGGGGGGGGCAGTGCGGTTTCTGCGTTGGCAGGACCTCGGAGGTGGTGCCGGCAGAGGCGCATAGACATCAGACGCTACTTCTCTTAATTGGCAAACATGTCGTGTGATAACCTGGGAACAGCACCGGCCTAATTGAGTCCTCCTGTGCTGTCCTCCTCTGACTACCTGACATGGAACCCAGGGCATTACATTTCCCTCCATTTAATGGCCGCAGTTAATTAGGCCCGAATGAGGGAATCATTACCGCTGGAAAAACCACATGCCAGTGGATTCGCCGATAAAATTAGCCACAATTTGCTTTTGCTATTTGAGCATGAGAGATAAACCACACAATGGGGGGGGAGGGAGGACTGGACCATTACTGGTGGATTTGTATTGTGGCATTTTAGGCATATCATAGACAAATGGAACGATTAATCAAGGCTGAATTATTCACCCTGACTGATATTTCTTTTAGCCAGGATTCACGGCTTTCTCAATTTAGATCAGTCCGTGTGCTTCGGCTTCTCTTTCCCCTGTCAGAATGTTTTAAAAATGCGCTTCCTTAATAAAACAGTGCTGCAGATGATGTGCTTAGTTTTTTGCCCCACAGCCAGTACCGAACAACCTCCTCACTTCTCAGCCATTAACATTATATACCACCCCCATACAGGAGCTCCGCATGCTTTCCATTGCTGTCCAATGCATTCTGCACCTCCACACTCAGAGGGAGCTTATTTATATGGGTCCCAGCCCCGTCTTCCAAACGAGAGACAGCCATTGTAATTGAATACTCAATAGGTGAGCCATTTAACAAAAGTGGAAATGGCGTTCGGCTATGTATTAATGTGCTTCGCCGAGGCAAAAGGAGCCATCATCATTTCAATGTTCAAGCTGTTTTAAAAGAGCATTTAGCCTGCCATCTCTCCAGGCCATGAGAGCAAAATGACATGGATTTCTTCCTCCTCTGTACTTTGTGCGAATGTTCCTCGCCTAATATTTTGTATGGTTATCTTGCTTATTTTCCCATCCATCCTTCAGCACCTCTCAGTGATCTAGGTGGAGGGATACAAGCAACTCCGCAGAAGGTTATTGTCATGAAAAGCCCCTCAGGTCTTTTGGCTCTCAGCCCTATTTTTCTCCATCTACATGCATTGTGCGTATTTGTGTGTGCATGGGGTGGAAAGGGGGATCTCTAATGATTTTTCCAGGACACACTAAAGTAGATGTACAAGTGTGTACGTGTATATATATATATATATATGTATATAGTGTGTGTGTGTCTGTCTGTCAATGTGTGAATGGAAAAAAAGGGTGGCAGAGGAGATACATGGGCAATACGGCGTCATTTCTTAACATCTCTCTAGATTCGTCATCTGGCTTTGTTTGTTTGATAGACTGCTTGGAAGCCTTATCTCTGTGGTGAGACCCGTGGCTGTTTATCACCTCAGTGACGTATGCGGGACTGTGGAAGTACGTGCTCTCTGCTGTCAGTATGTGTAGGTGATGGCAAGTTCACTAAAGGGCCCTTAGGGTATTGATGGGTGTTTTTTTTGCACAAAAAAAGAGGAAAAAGAAAAAAAAGAATAGGAAAAAGAGTTTCCCCTTGACAGCTCACCCACAGCAGACTCGAGATGTGCTTCTCAACAGTAGCTTGGGGAAAATATGCCGTCTACTGCCTAAAACAAAGAGATGCGAGAGTCAGATTAGCGTGTTACTGAAACAGCTTTCCTTTTAGGCTCTTCTCTCTCTCCTCTCCTGTCAGAGCTGTCTGCAGAGAACGAGGGTGGTGGTGGTGGGGGGAGAACATGAGACATTAACCTCTATGTGTTTATTCACAAGGCCCCACAGGCCAACTGGGAGGATGAACACAGAACCATCTCTAAAGCCGGCGAAGCGGAACAATCACAATGTGTCATTGGAGGAAAAGACATGAAGTATTAGCTGCCGCTCTCCTTTGTGTCTTTCACAACTGAATTTTAATTTAATGTGCTATTTCTGTGATGAGTCACATGCCTTTCGTTCAGCGCCAGAGTACATTGACCCTCAGTGTGACGTACAGTCAGTGAGTTGTATGATGAGTCATAGCCGCATTAGCTGTGATGATTGGCTA